ATTTCAAAATTACTTATGCAGGATTAATCCAGTTCAATGAATGCATCTTACGTTGATTAATAAAGCATCCATGAATTGCAAAATAAAGCTAGAGGTGACTTGTGTGCTGTTATATTTGTATACTTTACTGGAGCTGGAGAGAAGTGTATGCACATAAGGAGACGTGGTCAACCAATGTATTGCTTTAATTGTAAGGGATTGAAAACAAATATTGATTTCCTAATTGTATTTTCTCCCCACAATTGCAATCTACTTTTAAATTGTTTTACTTCTTTCTTGAAGAGTATAGTCACCACATTTACCTACCAAAATGCTGAATAAGTACAGGGCAACTAGCATGTTTTCTACAATGACTCTAGTCATCATCTGAGTGACATCTGCAGCTTTCACTGGCAAAAATGCAGGGACTTAAGCATTAGCTTACCTAGATGTGCATCCCTCTGCTTGCACACAAATTAGAATTCATCTATTAACACCATCTTTTTATGACTTGTTGCACTTGGATTTAAATGACCTTAAGTGAAACCTTGCCAGTGACCAAATAGGTGGGAACAGATACAAGGAAATTATTTGGTTCTTTCCCTTTTTTTAAATTTTTTAACAAGTCTTGCATTCTCTTGAACTGTTCTTGTTTACCAACTTCCAAAGAGCAATCTGTTGGATTGCTATTGGTCTATTGGAGAGCCTGCTCTTCAGTTCAGAAAATACAATTAATCATCATAATTTAAACAAAAGCAGTGCTTATTAATGGCTGTGGTGAATTAGCTACAAGTATCTTCCAAATTTCATTGAACCCCTTTGATTTAGGGATGCTTCTGTTTTTTCATGCCATTATGAAGGTGTCAGAATCCAACAGATATCGAACAGAAAGTATCTGATTCCCACAGGGGTAATGTCAATAATATTTTACCTATTTGAAGAATTTGCAAGAATTCGTAAGAAATATAGTTTGAAACTTCTTACCACAACAACTACATTCGCCATAAAAAGGAAAGCCCTAAAAAGCCAGGAAGTCTTTGATTCAAGAGGCTTATTGTTTATCAAGATACTCAAATATGTACTATTCTAGAGGTTTGTGCCTCAAGAAGTCTGCAGTGTAAATCTGAATAATCCATGTAATGTTTACCATTTGTAAGGATAATCTGGGAATCTAAATTAGTTGGTTAATAGAATATGGAACCCTCTACTTCTGGGCTGTTGGCTTAAATCCAGCTTGGGTCTTGGTAGTAACAGTTCATATTGTAATAGCATCTGAAGACCCAGCCAGACTGACAATAACAAAGTCATTATTCTCTGATAATTTTTGTGGCCAGGGCACAATAAGTTTGGAGTGCTCTGTTCAGTTCCAGTGGTACCAATAAATAGTCTTGATTAGCCATCACAGCCAAGATTTGAATAGACATAAAAGCTGTAAACATGCCTTTTCCTCTAAAACCACCTTACCAAAACAGTGGTAAGGCAAGTGGTAAGACAGCTGCTGCTGTCTACATTCAAGCTAGGGACAGAAGTTACATATAAACCGGTATAAAAGATCGGAAACCATTCTGAAGTCTGAAACAAAGCAGAAGTTCAGTGCACATAAACTGCTTTAAAATGGCTGAAACCAGTTTAAGATAAACAAGGATGGATGTAGTATCAGACTTAACTGAATTTGGTTAAATGTGTTTACTGAACATCTGTGCCAGATCCCCTGCAGATTTAAGTTAACTCACAGTTCCCTAGCATCCCAGAATGCTTTGCACCTCCCATGCAAACCTCCGGATACCACAGAGGGTGGGGTGGGGGGCTAGCCTTGGCCCATGCTGTCTGCTCTAGCTGAGGAGGGAGGCATGCTCTAGCGCCCCCCAGCTTCTGGCCTAAGCCACTGCAGGCACGTGACTGCTTTTCTGGAAACAAAAGTAAATGTCTGTTCACTTGCTTATCGGTTCAGTCTACACAGTTTAGACTAATCTACGAAGATTGAATCGATTCCATCTCAGGTTTTTTGACTGTCTGTACTTAGCCTCAATGGCAAGCACAGAATTTCATCTGTTGGGATATTGGTCTATTTCATTAGCCCTGAATTTACATAAAAATACAACCTGGAAAAAGCACACCAGAAGAACTTCACTATACTTCTGCTTTCTATTTCTTTCTCTTGTGTGCTATGCAGTTTCTAATGATTTGCCATTTAAGGGCACATCCACATTTGCCATTTAAGGGCACATCCACACATGCAGGCACGTGTGCTTGCAGAAGCTCAAATAGCAGCGGCACAAATTTGTGCCGGAGATGTGTACCTCAGCACTTGTGCCTGACCATGCACTTTGGTGTGGAGCAAATTGTGTCATTTGGGTAAACTGACCCTGCCCAGCTTCTCCTAGATCTTCAGCCAGGGGGAGCTAGAAGCTGGGGCCAGCAATTGTGCTGGCCCTAGCAATATAAAAAGCTACCCTGGTGAGCAGCTCGGGGCTAGTTGCCCTCAGGCACTTCTGAGGCCCAGCCAGTTGGTTCTGGGGACACTACCAC